ACGCGTCGAACCGGATCAATCTCGCTGTGAAATGTAATTTATTTAGGACGCGGTCGATCGTCGAGACTCTTGTCGATTGTGGCGATCGGAGGTCTTTATCCGGCAGCCAATCGACGTCGAAAATTTCATCACCGATGGAGCAAGGAGACTCGTGACCAGTCCAGACACAATTGGGGCAAATTCGTAACGCGGTCGACCCCATGAACGTATTTCTAACACTCGATAACGCGAGCATATCGATCGTGCTGCGATTATGTCACTCCTGTTCTGGCACGACTCTTCGCATCGCCTGTTCCGTTCCATCTACCGTAAAACAATTCTTTTCTTCTCTTCGTATAAGCCTCTTTCGAAAATTTTCAAGTAAGGAAAAAATTCAGGCGCTGGCAAACGGTATTCGTTCTCAATTAGACGACCGAACGAAAGATGGAGCAACACTCAGCTGAAATTTCATCAAAAGGAGAAACTGAAAAATTGGATTCGCTTTGAAAGATCAGTGATTCACTTAACATTATTCAACAGTCTTAGTAACAAAGCTTCGAGAGAAGTAGATCTCAGGAGTTAAAATAAAGTCAGATCTTATATGTATATCGGAAAATAGTTATATACTCGCAAAAGTCCGTAAAGATATTTATGGATGTATCGCGTAACTGTAAATGCGACGACGTATAGGTATATTCGATTACTCGTGTTAGTTTCAAGCGCCTCGCGATATCTCGTCGCCTTTCACTCGGCTATACTTCGCGCCATTGTGCAGCCAGGAGTTGTGCAACGATATTTTAGTTCTCCTGCATTGCAAAACGGATACGCAGCATTATACACACGTATCTATATACACGGTCGCGTATGATCGTTACCATTCCATTGTACTGTTTCCCGTGACATTCCCATTTAATTCAAACGACATATTTCATGGATGCTACTCATGAACTACTACTCGAGATCGGATTTTTGCATCGAATGATCTTCACAATCGGCTAGAAAGTTCACTTCGCACTTTCTTCAAACCGTTAGCATCGCTCGGCAATTAACAAACACGGCCACCATGAAGTATTGTGATCTCTTCCAGCGTTCACAGAGAGATACCGCGCGACCGATCACCGTTGTTAGCTTCCATTCTCCGATCGTTCAACGTCGCTTATAAATACGAAAGAACAGAGAGGCCCGTTCTCTTGTACGTTGTTTTTATACGGTTATGCCGTAAGTCAAAGCCTGAGACTAATGAACCATTTATACGTGATGGAACACTGCGACGACGCGACGGAAAGTCGGCCCTCCTGAATTCATGTTCTCTCGTGTCTTGTTGAGAACGGCCGTAAACGCCGGACGGGGGAGGATTTATTTGCGAGCCGGCCTCGCAAAAATACGTCTACGCGTCGCTCGGATTTTAAATCGCGTTCGTTGATACTCGTCATTATTAAAATTCATTCCACAGAGACGATACCATTAAAATTTAATAGCCGGCCGACGATACGCGCTTGTGATTCAGCCCTTGTGTCGAGCCATCGCCCTCTGGATCACTCTTTCCTACTCCAACTTCCATCTCGATAAATCCTATGAGAAATATGACTCTCAAATCTCTTGTACGAAATAAACGCGCTGCTGGTTGGTTAATAAGTTCGTGTAGTTTTGTAGATTAAAAAAACATTTTTTTCTACGTCAAGAGTCCCTTGTATTAAAGCAATTGCAACTCTTTAAGAAGCAACGAAATATCAATCTTTTTCGTTGATGTTATTATTAAATCGACGTCGCCACAATAAATTTTTATTTTCACGATGAACCTTGATCACGCTAATGTCACTCGAGCGTTTTGGGCCTTCAAGCTTCGAAGCCATGAAATTGCGCTTGGCTAAGGTTCGTTCGCCCTGAAGTTGAAGCACCTCTTGTCTCGTTTCGTCCACCGAGAAATACGTTTAAGTGTTCCTCGACGATATCACGAGGCTCGAGTCATGATTAAAATTTATAAGATGGCTCGCGCTCGTTGCCAACGTGCAACGAACGATCGGTTCGCACGCTTTAAGAATAATTTTCTCGATGAGCGCGACATGCCCCCGAGTATTGCCCGTACGGTGATTAAGTTTATCGTGATCATCGTGCTCTAAATTTCTGCGTATAATACATACATCCGTATGTGTATCGTATCTCGATCGGGACGCGACGAACTCGAATGATTTTTTTATGGATCACGTCTCTATAGATTCGAGCGCGAGGGTATCAGCAGTTGAAATAAGAGCCGACGTTCAGGTGCGATCCAATTCATGGAGGAGCAAGCTTGTTTGTTATTCCCTCTCGTTCCCTTTGGTAGCGTCATTGATTTCTCGACGCCGTTCGACTCAATTCCAAGCGATAACTTCAATTATGACCTATCGATTGCGATCTATCCACCCATTGCATGATTGCCTCCATGAAAAATTTAGAGAATGTATATATGTTCGCTCCTAACGACCGGCGTAATCTAATTTGTCCGGCCTTCACTGTCCAAGGAATCGTTGGACATGAATTGATTTCATTGTTTTTAAAACAATGAGTCAGTTTGTAAAGCTCAGTAACAGAATTCTCGGTGCTGGGCGAGCAGAACTAATATTGAAGCAGTCGAATCTAGGTGTTTTCATTCATACATACGATTTAATAACGATCGAGAGCACGAAAGTAAATGGAATTTCAATTCCTTCTGCGCGATCAAATCGAAAGTCTCGACGGCGGTGCTCGATAATTCACATCGGTGTTTGCAATACCACGATGTTCGACGGAGCGATGCTGAAGAATATCGAAATAAAACCGTGTTCGCCAACGCGACGGTACCTGGTCCTGAACGTTGCTCAACCGTGATCTTCGAACAATAGCCTATCGAATAATGCGACTTCCCGTTGTACCGTTTGCTTCCTTTTGCTCCATAAGCGTAAACAGGATTCTGTTATTCTTTCGTACTGCCCGCAATTTCATCAGCTAGCACTTTCGTGAAATTGTACGATAACATGAAAAGCACTCGCTTATTCTTGGGAATTCGATCCAACCATAAATCTAGTATTTTTCGAACCGGGATTAGACCCTCTCTAAAGCCAACTACACGACGGAGTCACGTCAATTATTCGCAGATGAGAGACAGTCCATATTATTACAGTCATTAAGCTGTTCGTTAGTAGGCACGTTGAGTTGGTTTACATCAAAACTGGAGATAGGAGTTCATACCGTCTAATTGTAAGTATACGCTGTCGCAGTCTGCCGCTGTAGAGATATTACAAAATATTACACGCCCACGTTCATCGGCTATCATTAGCCGGTAAAATTTCATCACCGGGCGCGCGCCAGCGTGGAGCCGATTGTTTCTCTGCAATTGTAATCGTAACTCCCGTCCATTATCAACGCGATCACCGCGTAATTATTACGTCTGATGCGTTCGTATCGCGGAAAAGAAAGTGGTTGTCGGTGAAATTATCTCGCACACAGTCTCGTACATTGCAAGCTGAAGTAAATGGATAGTAAATCGTTCGGACTAGGGAAGAGGAACAAGAAGATCGGTGTTAGTAGAGTACTTATCGCGTAATAGTGAAAATCCATTAACAACGGGAAATGCCTGCCGTTTATTTGAATTCATTTGTTTCCGGTTCGTTGGTTCGCGTTCGGTTACTTCGTAGTCTTTCAATGGTAAACGCGCGGCTTTGAATCATCAGTGATTCTAAATAGCCGTCAATCATTTCCTGCGAGTTGATTTACATAGGAATTCACTACTTTTTCTTCGAGCGCTAAGCAAAAAGTGTTCGACGTGCAAATAATAAAACGGCACGAAACGAGCCGAGTTATTTCGTATGCACCGCAACGTTAAATGCCTGTTTTTTCAACAAGATTAAAATAATTGGACGACCAACAGAAGTATTGGTCGGTTTACGTCGGCACCGAGGTCGGCCGACCGAGTAGTTTCAATTTTACCGGGAGTTTATGAGTCTGACGAGTGAACACATATCGCTCGAGGTCTTTATTAAATTCATACAAATCCGTTGTGTTCTTTGCCGGCAGGCTGAGAATGATTTTATGCATTTCGTTAAAGGTCAAAATAGTTTAATATATTTGATTTAAAGAAGTTGTAAATGAGCGTTTCTGTCGCTGAACCGTTTATTCGACCTAATTCGATTTTGCAACTTGGACGGCGTTCGAATCAACATTGACTCGATAGATTACGTTCACGCTCAGTAAAGCGTGGTCTCTTAGACCGATCGGCATGTAATTTCGTAATCATTGTCATCGTCGTGGCCGGCGGCCCGTAAGCTCGATCACCGATCACAACCTTTTCAAGGCCTTGAAGGAGGGGCTCCAACCTCTTGCGTATCGCGTGTCCCATTATCGTTTCGATCAAGGTTAACACGCTTATGAATATTCACCCATTCCAATCGTGACGTTGTGATAGGTATCAAAACGAACCGGACCGGTCGCCGTTTTGCGTCACCAAGAGGCCACGAACCCATACCAACTTTTATTTTGCTTTCGATCAGTCTTACATACCGGCCAGCAAGAAATAAGAATATAATTGTAGGATTCGAGAAAAAAATTCTTACCAAAAGTCACGAGACGCAAGACTTAAACATTTTAATTAACATAAATGTGTCTATGATTTCAAATAACGATTGTAAATCAGAAATCTCAATTGAAAATGGAATAACTCTGGTCTCTTTTCTTGAATTTAACAAGCCCTTAGTTTCTACTTGCCATTTTCTAATTATCTAGAAAAGTACACGGTCAACTCATCCGCAATTCTTCCTGTTACGCTTAGACCAAGTCGCTCGGGGAATCAGGTTTTCTTTGCAAAAGACAAGTCGTAAGAGATCTCTGTTCGCTAGTCGAACCCGGAGCAACGAGTTTACGGTATCTATCGGGTGTCGGTATCGTCCAGCGACCATTCTCCAGGCCTTTCCCCTTCTCCGATCCTGTTTGATGTCCCACGGTAAGCCGCTCGCAGCGGTCTCTCCCGCGCCTTTCTTCGCGCTGCGCTGCACCGCGTGTCAGTTCGAAAGCAGCCGCGGACAATAACTGACAAGTAACCGGTCAGCTAGTCCAGCCGTTCTGGCTGCGAAAAACCGCGTTTCTTTCTCGCGATTCGTAGTTACGTTCCACGTTTCAAAGTGTAACGTACACGGCGTGTCCGCGAAAATGTGAGCAACTCCCTTGCGAAATGGATGAAACGTGAACAGTGTAGTGCGAACAGAAAAGAGAAATGGATTTAGTGTTACTAGTGAACTCGAAAAAGTTCTACGATGATCGCATAACTAACCGATAGTGAACGCCTGTGGAAAGAGTCGGGCAATCGGTGAGTGTCGAGCAGTGATCGATGGATCGACTTTTCCAGGTCTGATCCGAACAAATAATTCGTACCGAGGGCGATGTTGTGGAATGCAGAACGAGTTGAAAAACGAGAAGGAATATCCGCTTGATAAACGCGCGTACTCGCGAGAGAACATATGTTACATCAGGGTGGTACGCACGATTATCTTGTCCGTTCGCGACGATAAACTTGCGCATCGATTTGTGGAGAACACCGACGCTTCGACACATTTTCTCGCATCGATTTCTTCGAATCATGTCCCGTCATCCGACGGAACGTTGTTTCTTCTTAAGATGCTTCAGACAGGGGAAACGTCCTCGAAAACGCGACAGGCAATTTTGTGAACGAGTATTGCGCGCTCGCAGCATGTTGACATTTAAATGTCAAGCAGAGGGGCAGGACGTTTATGCGCACTGTCGTGCCTTCGCGAGTCAATCTTAGGATGTTAAACGATGCCACTTCTTACTATGTATCTACGGGTTTTATTCCGTTGCTGGTTCGTTGCTTCTGGCACGACGTTTCCGTGACAACAGATTGGTCGATGATATCATCAGAGACGATGTCTTGTTCTTCTCGCGAGGAAAACGAATTCCTGGCAATTGTTTCGGTCGGTTGAACGATCGTACGACGTCCCGGACAGGACGTGGTTGTCAGGATAAGTAAGGTAGTGGTGCTTTCGGGCACGGTAGGTTAATTCTTCTATAGTGGTCGAGATATCTAGAGCATAAAATGGCCTGTACAGGCTTTGCCTGCCGCATCTAGGCGAGAGCACCTCATGGCCGTGAGAGAAAGAGAAAAAGACTGCTCGAAATAATTATTGTTCCCCGCTGAGGGATCGGGTTTTCTCGTTGATGGCCCTGCTGCCTATCTAAGGATAAGAGTAAAAAAAAGCAAAACGATCTGATGGCGCGCCGGTAGGAAGGTAGAAATATTTCTGTGGAAAGTAGCCGTGTTCTCGAGAGAGGAAAAGGATCAAAGAGACGCGTTCTCGTTAAAAGTCAGAAAAACGTGAGAAGATGCTGCTTGGCGTGGCACAGGAAAACCTGAGCGCGGAGTTTTCGTGATTCCGCGGGCCTGTGAATTTTCATAGAGAAAAAAAAGGGGAGGCCAAAGCGACCCGAGGGTCGTCCGGTGGAAATGAGTGAAAGTGGTCGTTACTTAACTCTTCCATCCGTCTAGCGAATGAAAAGCGCTCCTTCGACGCTCGTAATTAACCGGGAAAATATTCAAGGATCGCTGTGTGCCATGCCTCACTCTGTGTCTCTCCTTCTCCCTTTAGTAACGCGCTTTAACCTCCGCGATTTGGTTGTCTCGCTTGGCAATGCAGAAACGGCTTGTCCTGCCGCACTGAGGAGAACAACGAGAAAGGGAGGAACGGGCCAGGGGGACGGCTGGATATACATGGCAGTCATTGACTTTCGTTTAAAAGTCCCAAAGAAAAAATACCGGTGAAACAGCGTTGACCCACGAAAAAATAATAAAGTGCGCGCTTTGAAACCCGTGCATGTCGATACGATGCCACTTGAAAATTCGCGTTTTTCCCTTTGGTCTTTTGTATACAAAGCTCTTTTTATCGTATATAGAGCAATACAGTCGCTGTTTTTTGCAATAAACAGACTCGATGTGAATGGAAACAAGTTTAGTCACTGACCGTTTATTAATCGTAATCGAGATTAGAGGAACGTTTCGTTCCATTATTAATTTGTCAATCGATTTGATAAATACGTACCGAATCACCACGAATATATCTTGCATAAAATTTTCTTTTGAACAACGAATAGTAACCAAAATACTTTTCGAGTACTATTTTTTCGAAGAAAAAACGAGTTCTCGTTCGACGCGATCGCTTTTATTGTATGTTCGTCGCCGGTTATCCGCGCAACGCAGCTCGCTCACTTTCACTGGCAACGCGCGGAAAGAGAAAAGGGATCGAGACCTGGCTGCGTGACGTTATATAAATTAGGCATTTCACGAGTCCCGCATTGTTCCTTAAATCTTCGTCACGTTCTGTCTCCTCGGCAGGATATTCGCGTTACGCTCGTCACGATCCGGCGTCGGATCGATTTTACCTCGTTGCATGAAAAGTCGCTTTCTGTTTTGCGGACGTATATCACGCGTGCAAGAAGTGATTCAGAAAAACATCGAGGATGTTCTTCAGCAATTGACTGTAATTGTTGAATTGACTTAAATAGTAATTAGACTGTACACGGATAAATCGGTAAAGCGAATGGTATACGTTGGTCGATGCGTGGTCGCGAAGCAGGTTCGAGCGAAAGTCAGTGACCGATATTCTTTTTATCGCCTGATACATGTATATCATACATATATCCGCGCCTGTGCACCGGTACCGGCGCGTTTGCATTTCCTTTTTTCGCGCATGCCATTAGAAAATTTCCTGGTGCAGGAAATGTAATTCAAACGTACTGAAAAATCGCGCAGAGAAAAAGAGAGAAAAAACGTGTCCCATCGAACCTTGTGTCTGGTTTTCAGGCCGCGTCCGCTATTTCGCGTTATAATTGATGCATAAAAATGTGTTATCGGTGTACCTCCTCCTATGGGTTTAACGAAGCACGTTTGTGGAAGCAATGGCCGCGCGTCGATAATCGAGCAAACACTTTTTGCAATGAAAGCTGGAAGTGCACCTGGTATACAATTATTTGAACGCATGTTTCGTTTACGTTTTTCCATTGACGTCGTCTCTTTACTCGGTTGTTTTTATCGATTATGCACGGAGAGGAATAAAAAAAACGCACGCGAGAATTCCAGAAAAATAAATGAATCGACGTTAAAACAGTCGATAACAAAGGCACGATATTATTTCGCAAAACGTGTAAGGCAGAGAAAGCGCCGCTTTCCTCGTTCAATTTCCCTCTGTTACGCGTCGATTCGATTCAGCCGGTCGGTCGGTCGATCATGTTTCGCGATGCAGCAGGTGCCGGTAGGCCGAAGAAACGTTAATTCTAATCGCGGCAGCGCTTCTCGAGGCGAGGCAACACGCTCAACGATACCGTTATGCCAGCTGCCGTTCAAAAATTACACAAGAAGTTATTGTACGTAGTAATGGAAGCTACGTGTACAGCAGGTGCATTCGGCCTGTCGGTGTACGTACGCATGCACTCGTGTGGGTTGTTTCGCTGGCGCGAGTCGAAACGAAAAATTGTTGGCGCTTGCCGAGAGTTGCATCAGTAAAAACGCCGGGGATCCCTCGTCCGCGTGCTATGGAACACAGCCGTGCATCGCGAGCGCGTGCTCGACGTAATGAAAGTCGCTAATTTTTCCTGCGATTTTCCCCGCTACCGCTACACACACAATGCGAACGTGAACGGCAACGTTTCAAAGAATGCCCGAGTTTCCCCCAAGACTTGATTCCGTTTCCTTCTCTCTTCGCTTAGAAAGGCATCTTTCTGTTTCGGGTGCCGCTTCGCGTACGTATATACCTAAATAGTCACCTGCGAGCGTGTAGTAGAACGATTAAGGGGATTAGGTAGCCCCAGTTTCGCCGACCAAAACCACTAAGTCAGGCGGCTGGAATTTCTCTGCTTCCTCTTTTTTTCCTCTAGTTGCTTGCATACGTATTCCGTCCAATCGTGGAAAGCGCCTCATTCTTCTCCAAAGAAGAGAAACATGTGGTTGCGATACATACCTGACTCGAGCGATTTTCTATTGTGCGGGGAAATGTGTCGCTTAAAATGTCTCCTTCAAGGCACTTAAGAAATAGGACGATTTTCAACTGAAACCAGGTATTTCTTTTTACGGTAGATTGAACTACGCTTCAACACTTCCCTCGGTTGCTAGGCGGGATTTCTCTGTGAGCCAGTCTGATATGAGATTGCGACCAGTACTTCGCGAATTCGCTTCTTTCGCGAGTTCCAAAGATTTGATAAGTAACAATCAAAAGGAGAGATTGTAATGTACCACGAGATTGAAGTGAAATAACATTTATCTTCGAAGAGGAATCCATGTCCGAACTGATTGAAAGTCGATTTCAAATCACTTTCAAGTTAGGAGTTTCAATAGTAGCGTAATGAACTTCAGCTCCGAATAGTCCGCTATAAAAATGTCAAGGTACATAATACGTATCGACAATAACCGAACGAATGATCGACCGAACGCCTACGGTCGGGCCTTCGAATAACAGTAGGTAGCGTGTCTGACCATGAATGCGTCAATCCACTTAACCGCGAAACGTGCTTCTCGAACAACGTATCCCTACGAATTTTTCGCGTCTATGAACGATTATATTCCGTAGCTCACAAAGGAAACGCGTTTCTCCTGTACCGTGAACGAAACCTCGGACACCGGAGATTCCTTTCCCAATTCAACACGGTGCACCGTAAAAAGACAACGTTTACCAGGGCTATTGCGCGGCCGATCCCACGGCACATTGCGTTCCCTAATAAAGCCACACGCTTTCGTATCCGCCTACGCGTCACGATTAACAATTATTAACGGTCGCCTATCGAACAGCAAGCCAAGCAGGAAAGCGTGTGTGCATCACCTGAACGCACGTGCAACCAATCGAGCCCCAATTATTCCGAGTAACGGAGGGACGGACGACCTACGGACATGCGACATGCGACGGGCGTATGCATTTTAAAAGAAACACGTGATTATCCTCGAGACGCCTTCGCTGCATAACTATAGTCGACTGCGCGTCCTTCTAGTAGACCTTCATCTAGGAAGTCTACTTTACAACTGCATTGGCTTCGTAAATACTGACGGTTTCCTCGTAATTGTGCACGAAGTTCGCTTTAAATTGTATGCATAGGAGAACGCGATTACTTGTAATTATATGCATAAACTTTTACTGTTTGGACGTGTAATATTGTTGAAGGAAATCATATTCCGGGATGGTTTTTAAAGTTCATTGCTATTCTTCGCATTTTCGAAAGAGATTCATCGCATACAAATGAGATTGTAGTCCGTCGCATGATTAATTCAAAGCAAATGGTGCGATTATCCCCGCTATCGTGCAGCGTAATGCATCTTTCCTTTGTCTATCCGTTGACGGCGTTCCCACGTTTTCACTGTTCGTAACGGCGATACGAGAGCAAGGTTTTCGCGATGACGACCAAAAACGAGATTTCCTCTTTAGCCCGAACTTCGATCTTTGGTAAACAATGCGAAAGTAATTAGAGGACCAAAACGTGTTCCCTGCTCTTTGATCCTGCACCAGACCAAAGAGACTATTTAACGAGAAGTTCGAAGTCGTTCCTCTGTCTCGAACGGCGATTCTGCACCATGAACGTGAACGACGCGACGGTGCATTCATTTAAACTTTCAATTTATCGGTCTGTACTTCGGTGCAAAGACTGTTGCCCTGTTTGTATCGCGTTGCTCTTTCGTTAAAGAGTTTGACAAGAAACTTTCGAAGCTCGTTTGGCCGCAAGCTTAATTATCTCCAAACGTCTTTCGCGACTACAAATAAACGGCGCGATGGAATCTGTTTCGAATACTTTGCGCAATTTATGCGCCTTGTTACCTAACTTCACAGCCGCGAGGCAATTATATTAGACCTGTTTTCAAACACCTGCATATTAACGTGGCGTTGCGTTTGATAGTAACCAACCGCCTTCACCGCAGAACGTTAGATCAATCGCAATAATTATGCAGAAATCGACTAGAGAGAGAGAGAGAGGGGGGAAAAAATGAAGAGAACTGTAACAAATGATGCGAATGACCGCGATTGTTGAAAATGGAAAAAGCGCAACGACCGCAAACGATACTTTTCTCTTGGACGATCGAGGATTAGAACACGAGAGGACGAGAATCCCGAGTTAATCACGGTTCGGCTCGGTGATTTAGCGCCGTCGCCGGTGTGAGTATCGATGCGATGGTGCAGCGAACTCGATCTTCTACATCTACGCAGACTTAGCCGGAAGCTGCCACCCTGAAAATTATTCGAGCGTGTCCGATCGGTTGCGTGATCACGAATGACGTGACGCGTCTATTCTTCCTAATCCCGATCGATGGGTCTCGATCTCGTTTGTTCCCACTCCCCCCCCTCGGTACCCGGTCGATGTAATTTAGGTTAATTCACCGACGTCCTCAGCTTCCTTGTCGTGCCTCGCACTCGCGTAATTAATCACGCTCCTACTTTTTCTCTCTTAAATATTGCTTTTGTCAAGATAAAAATTTTCACGTCGGCTTAACGCGTAGAAAACGCGCGATACGTACAACGATCGTTCTTTTTCCCTATTTCGTCGCAGCCTCGAGGATCATTACTCGGGACAATTTACCGTACAGATTGGCAGCGGGTCGACGTTGATAGATCGAGAACATCGTCGATTCATTACGCTGAATATTCATTAAGGCGAAACCACTTTGCTTCTGGTGAATGAATTTAAAATGATCACCAACTTCGTGGAAGGATGGTAGCGAAAATTGAGGATCGAATTTATTGTTAGTTGGAACTATTCGACGTCGGATTTGGAATACCGTTTTTCACGTCTTCGATGGAAGATTTTCGAACTCCCAGGCGACTATCTTTTTTTCGTGACCGCGTTCACTCGGCCTATGGACGCTCGATATTCCGTTCGTGTGCCAGTGCAAATTGAGATTCAATCTCAATCGCGCTCCCTGCACCCCGAATCTTGCCCCCTGCTGACCCAGATTATAAGCTCCATCGATGCGACCGTTCAGTGGGCCTAATTTTTATTCTGTTGACCGTATTGTGTTTTGGCACTGAACTTGCGCCGTTCCGTTTAAACGTCGGCCACTTTTGTGGTTCGAGGAACGGATCGAACGGGTGAAAGCACTCGAGACAGTTCTGTGAGCCATAAATGATTTACTGCCGTTATCGAGAACGTATAGATCCTCTGTATTATCTGAGCCGTATCATTTTTAGTGGACAATGCAGAAATTCTGCCCAAGGTTTTATGACTGAACGTTTTATCGCATGGAACGATGATGATAGAGACGAATCTGAAGCTGAAAACTGTTCTCGTAAAACTTGGAACGTGCGAACTTGAAGCTGCCGTCATTTTTTTAACTGCGCATAAATCTTTTTCCTTTCTACAAAACAGTACCAGCTACTCTTTTCCTCGCTTTTGTCTAACTTCTGGCCCCGATAACTCGCAGTAGAGAGAAGACACAGGGGTTTTGGACGAAGACGAAAGAAGGCGGTTTTTAAGGAAAAGCAAGAGAAAACAAATTCGAACGAACGATTTTCCGAGCATATACCTGCTCTAATTTTCCTTATAATTCTCTGTCCGAGGGACTGAATTAGTTTTCTGGATTCGAAATAGTCTTCGAGGACGTTTTTAAATGTTCAAGGCCACTGGAGAATGTTTCTTCGTCGAGAAAAATATTTGTTCTGTAAGCGATAGAGCATTAGCCTTCCGTTCACATAAATTCGATGTATTAATCCGGAAAAGATGTCAATGTCTTTGTACAAATCATTCAATGCAAATGGAACGTAAAGAGAATCGGTCTCTTTGTGACGCGTTTCGCAAGTAGACGTTTGTCCCTGTAAAAAATGCGAAAACTCTATTGGAGTCTAGTAAAAATAGATGCGCCGATATCGATGATAATCTGGGTCAACCGAGAATGACATCGATCAGACGAAACCGCGTCAGAATCGAAATTCAACGCACGGACGTATCGATAGAACCTGGTGGCTTGTAGGTCGTAACGGGGGGACACGCTCAGGGCGGGGTTCAGCTTAAAATCATTTCATCGGTTTTCATTCACTGTATCACTGACACCGAATTTCATCGACATTCTGTTTCAAATACGAATTTATAGTGTATAGGACACATATTTATCGATGAAGTAAGCGTGCAGTGATATCAATTATTGTGGGAAAACGCTTCTTCTATTAAAAGCATGTGACAGTTTCATATACGAATTTAGTACAAAACGCGGTTATGATTCTCCTATGCGTCTGTTCTTCGTTAGTTCGGCTTCGCGGTGTCGTTCCGCGATAAGATATAACAGCTCTAGGCGATTTTATACGGTATCTCTCGTTCTGGAATTTCGCAAATCCCTTCGGAATTTCATGTTATCTCGGATGAGAAAAAAAGGAATGAAACGAAATATAGTAATATCTGAATGCAGAAAAGTGGCGGAGCGCGAAGTGCCGGAGGAAATTAAGGTCTCAAATGTGCGGCAAGAGAGTGAGAGAGAGATTACAATAAGCCGTCGCAACGTAGGAAACAGCTGCCTTTGCGGAATGTTAATTTAGTGATTGAAGCCGCGAGTGTACTGATTTGACATAACTACGACCAACGGGAAAACGAAACAAAAAAGTGGATAAGAAAAAGGAGAAAATGCGAAACGGCGGTCAACAGCAGCAAACGGCGGTAATGGCGCCGCCGCATCTGAACGGGTCCGCGCAATTCGTTTCCGGCGGTTACGTCGGCTACGTATCGCGCCAATCATGGGGCCAATTTCAAGGGCCGCAGCATCCGAGGAACACGGCCAGGCCTCTGTCGCATCCACCCCCGCCGCCCTCGAGACGGGAGAGCCAAAGACCCCCTGGCAATCCTAAGAATACGTCCCTTCCGCATCCTAAGCCGGGAATGCATAGAAGCACCACCCCCTCGGTGAGTTTAGGCTACATCTTTTACACTCCCCAGCTTTTTAAAAAGAAGTTCTCGGCTTATTGCTCACTTCTTGACTATTGGCGAAAAGCAACGAATTTAAAAATATTTAGTAATATATAGTATTCGATGGGATAGAATTAATTTATGCACGATGAAAAGAAACTGTGACTTTATTCTGTCGTGGAATATTAACTTCTGGCACACAGACTTAATCGCGTGACGTCTATGAGAATACGTTAAATTTCTTAAAACTACCGTAGAGAGTGTTTTGAAACATACTTGTTATGGATGTTGGACGATTTACATTCGACTAGTTTCGGCTACCGTAAGCCGATCGGTCACGGTGAGAAAAAGTGTGGAGAACAAGCAGCAGAGAAAGAGAAAGGTAAGGGAACAGGAATCCTCTTATGCGTGGCGTGTATCTAGAAGAACACGTTGTAGAATACCATATGAGGTTTAAAATCATCCGTGAAGGAATGTCAGTAAACCTATCTGGTGTCTTACTCATACTCGTTTGTCATTGGATTAAGAAATCTATTCTATGTTATGTTCAAAACATACAGTCTCTTCTAATTTAATATCGACTGATATCATAACGTATTTCACTCGTACTTCCATTTATTCTTCCAAGAATTTTACAAGATTTTTAAAAATGTTGTGAGGGTATCGAGGAGTGAATGACTA